CCCCATGGGTCTCACCCGTCCCAGCTGTCACTGGTCACGGGGATAGCCCAGGACCTGGCGAAGTTTCACCCCCACTGTGCGTGGGGGCACCGTGAGTCGAGGGCCCCGCTTGGTAGCAGTTAACAGCCACCATTTCAGGGGGGGGTGGTTGGGGAATGCCTCTCTGGGGTGAGATTGGGGCGCACATCTGTGTGGGAGGAATCCGGCACATGATGAAGAGTGATCCCTGGAGTCTGAACTTCAACTTGTCTGCTTGGTTCCATCCCACCAACCCAACCCACTTTCTGAGCTTCCGATTCTTCACCTGTGTGGGAAGGTGTTGGGGCTTCCCGTGTGGCAGCGCTCCTGGCTCCCTGTGGGCCACACACCTGGCCTGTGAAAAGGCTGAGTGCCCTCCAGTCCTGATTGAGAGTCTGTCTGCTAAGGACAGGGGGACAAGGATCCACCCGTCTCCTCCTCTAGGCCCCCCGCCAAGAAGGGGGTGCCTCAGAAGGGGGACCTGGACCTGAGGGGCTGGGAGAAGGCAGGCTATCGGTTTATACCTCACCGGCAGGCCATGGGGGGTGGTTTTGTTATCTGACACAGCAGTTCTTACCAGACTTCCCCCTTTGAGCACACACCTTGTCATCCGACACGCGGGGAACCAACGAGCAGACGTTGGCAGGCCAGCCCTGGGCCCTGCATTTGGAAGCATCCACTGGGCTTTCCAAGATGGGTGGGTCTGTACTTTGTAGGAGAGACTGGGACTGCATGGGTGCATCATGCTGAGTCCCTGAGAGCTGGGAATCCCCGGTTTGTCCTCGGAGCTGACAAAAAAGGCCCTAGGGGAACAGAGTGGAGCCCTGGTGGCATAGTGGGCTATGCCTTGGCCTGCTGACTGCAGGGAAGGCAGTTCAAAACCACCAGCTGCTTCTCGGGAGAAAGACCAGGCTTTCTACTCCCATAAAGAGTTACAGTCTCGGAAACCCACAGGGGCAGTTCTACCCTGTCCTGTAGGATCGCCTAATCGATGTGGTGGCAGTGAGTTGGGATTTCTTGAGGGGAAGACACGCTTAAAAAATGGAAACAAAGTAACCAGCAGCGGGGGTGGGGGTGGGGTGGGGGGACTTTTCCTCTGCACAAAGCATGGCTTTGTACGTGTCTTCTAGACACAGGCAGAACAAAGACCATGGACCTGAAGACCGGGATGTGGTAAGGAGACAGGAGAAGACTGGCCGTTACCTTTGAGAAGTATCTTGGTGTAGGCTGGGTCAGAGGAATTTCATGACGGCGTTTTACTCTGTGTGTGTGTGAGTGTGGAAATTTTCTGAGCATTTAGAAAAGTGGAAAGAATCAATGAACACCTCGATAGCCCCCACCCAGATCCACTCATCTTACTATGGAGCCACGTTGGCTTTTCCCCTCTTTCCGTGCGGGTGGTGGATGTGCACGCATGTGAAATGTTTCTGGGTTGGTTTTGAGTCATGCATTCTACTGTAGGTCGGTTGCAAGTTGACAGCGGATCATCAGTTTCACTCATGGTCAACCATCCCTGCATCCATTGTCATCCCCACAGGGCACCCCCACGCCTCCCACCTGCTTCCTGCCTCCCTTCCTTTTTCTCTCCGAATCTTGCTGAACTTTGTCCCGGGTTAATGCTCCCCTCCACCCCCCACCATGTGTGGGCCACACTGGCTTTATTGTTCCCCTTAGAGGCCTGTCTATTGTAGGGCTGAAAGTTGAACTGTAAAGGTGGGGGTGGCAGGGGCAGGTTCAGTCCCAGGCCTGAGAGGTGGCTAAGGGGGGAGGGGTAGACGGGAGTTAAACTGGGAGAAGGGAAAGGCAGTGTCAGGGAGTGGGGGGCTGGCATCACATGATGGAGGCTGGGGGAGACGCAGGAGTGGAAGAGTTAAAAGAAACTATCACAGAGTCAATGCTGACCTACAGCGACCCCCTGGGAGTTTCCAAGTCTTTCTCCCCGGGAGCTGCTGGTGGTCTCAAACTGCCAGTCATGTGGATCACAGCCCAATGCGCAACCACTACACCACTGGGGCTTCTGCGTTAGTTACAGGCAACGGGTGACTACACCATTGTGCGGTAACAGCGATACAGGAGAAGGAGCCTCGGTGGGGTAGCGGGTTACACATTGGGCTGTGAACTGAAAGGTCAGGGTTTCCAATCTTTTCCTATACCTGTGAGAGCTGGACAGCGAATACGGACAAGAGAAGAATCTTGAAAGTACATGGACTGCCCAGAGCACAAACCATTCTGTCTTGGAAGAAGTACAGACAAGGATGCTGAGACTCCGTCTTAGGTACTTTGGAGATGTGGTCAGGGGAGACCAGTCCCTGGAGTAGGCCATTGTCCTTGGTAAACTAGACAGACGGTGAACGAAAAAGGAGAAGACCTTCAACGAGATGGATTGACCCCAGACATAACAATTGTGCGGTGGCCCAGAACCGGTCAGTGTTTCTTAACCTGTTGGACATAGGGATGCTGAGTTGGAAACAACTGGAAGGCACTTGACAACAACAACAACATGACCAAGTCACTGGCCCGTGTACAGATTGTCTCATTCAACCCAAAAGAATGGCCTGCGTCTGTTTGGGTTTTGTTGTTCTTCAATCAGAGCCTTTCAAGTTTCAAGTATTATGTTTAAGTTTTGGGTTTTGTTCCTCTAAGAAAACCAAATCTAGACCAGGACACACTACCCTTTTTAATGCATTCATTTTTTCCCTGATGGGTTTCCATGGTGTCATTGCCGCGTTCCTCTATCCCAGCCTCTCTTTGGCCCCGTGCAGGGGAAGGCTGTTGACTGCTGGATTCACCCATCCGGGACCCGGGGCTCAGCTTGCTTCCCTCACAGAGATGCTGTATTTGTGATGAGACGACGAATTTAACACCCACCATGGGCTGAGAAATCATGTCTGGCAAGACGTTCAGCCAGAGGGCTCCTTAGAGGCAAGGATGGCGAGGCTTCGCTCACATACTTTGGACATGTTGCCAGGAGACACACCAGTCCCTGGAGGACAGCGTGCTTGGTGAGGTGGAGGAGCAGGGCACAAGAGGAAGACGCTTGGTGGGATGGATGGACACCACAGTGGCCACAATGGGCTCAGGCACAGGAACAATTGTGAGGATGGGGCGGGGTCTTCCTTCTGTTGTGCGTAAGGTCAAGGTCGCTTGGGATCAGAGCCCACAGGACAGGGCGGCACCTAACGACATCCAACACATGCCTGGGGAAAGTCTGGAAGGAAGTATTAACCTTGGCGGCCTCTGCGGGTGGGATGGGAGGTTCTGCCGCTTAATTCTTCTGCGCAAATGTGGACGTTCTCAAATGCGACAACAGGAAATACCTTTTTGCCCTTTGTTTTTTTATATATAATGAAATCATTTTATTGGGGGCTTGTACAACTCTTACCACAATCCACACATACATCCATTGTGTCAAGTACTTTTGTACATTTGTCTCCCACGTCATTCTCAAAACATTTGCTTTCTACTTGAACCCTTGATATCAGCTCCTCATCCCCACCCTCCCCGATGCCCCCTTCCGCATGAACCCTTGATAATTTATAAATTATTATTACTCTGTCATATCTTACATTGTCCCACATCTCCCTTCACCCACTTTTCTGTTGTCTATCCCCCAGGGAGGAGCTTATATATAGATCCTTGTCATCTGTTCCCCCCCCTCCTCCCTCACTTTCCCTCCACCCTCCCGGTATTGCCACTCTCACCACTGGTCCTGAGGGGTTCATCTGTCCCGGATTCCCTGTGTTTCCAGTTCCTATCTGTACCAGTGTACATCCTCTGGTCCTGCCAGACTTGCAAGGTAGAATTGGGATCATGATAGGGGGAGGAAGCATTCAAGAACTAGAGGAAAATTGTGTGTTTCATCATTGCTACACTGCACCCTGACTGGCTTGTTTCTCCCCGCGACCCTTCTGCAAGAGGATGTCCAACTGCCATTGTTTTTTAAACAACACAGCGCTTTGACAGGAAGTTGGATGCTATTAAAGTAGGTAGGGTGCCACCCCCTTAGCACACCATCAGAGGTCAGATGCTCCCTGACTGTTTTCCCAAAGGCATTTTACATCCTCTGTGTTGGCTCTGCTGTATTATGAAAATACTGTCGTGTTTTCAGTGAGGGTTTACACAGCCCACTTGGGTTCCCACTTAACGATGATAACACAGGTTGTTCGGACACAGAGCTGGCATCTCTGTATCCTTAACGGTCTCATCTTTGCTCTCAGGCAGTCTCTTGACCTAGTGGTTCTGCATTGGGCTGTGAACCACAAGGTCAGCAGTTCGAACCCACCCGCCGCTCCTCCGGAGAAAGATGGGACTTTTCTACTCTTAACCCACAGGGGAAGTTCTACCCTGTCTTAAAGGGTCGCTCCGCATCGGCACCGACTCCACGGCTGTTGTTTGGTGTAGTACTCCAGGGGGATAGCCTTTATTTGAAAGCTCGCCTTTGGGGATGTTTTGGGTGCCAAGCACATTTTTGATCTTGTCATCGATTATACGGGTACCCTGGCGGTAGTTCGGGTTATGTGTTGGGCTGCTAACCACAAGCAAGGTCAGCGGTTTGAAACCAGCAGCCCAGCCTCGGGAGAAAGAGGAGGCTTTCTGTGCCCCTAAAGAGATCCACCCGGGCAGCCCTGCCCTGCCCTATCGCGACACGGGGAGTCAGAACCTGCTCAGTGGCAGTGGGTTTGTGTCATGGATAACCAGGTCAGATGGAGATTAGGCCTTGTGCCCTTGGTGGATGGTGTGTTCGTGCCCTGGTGGGACTCCCAGCTCAGAGCCTGGGGTGCCCGACGGCAGCCACACATGCGCATAAGTGCCGTGTGCCCACGCCTGCATAAACACTCGGTGGCTGTGCGGCTGTGGTGAGCAGAGAGGGGGCTGCCAGGAATGAGGCTAGAGAGGGCATTGGGGGCTGGAGCGACGGTGCCTCGCCCGAAGTCTGAGGAAGGTGAGGGTCCAGCCTCCAAGCCGGGACGTCTGCCCCACAGGACGCCTTCCGCGCCTTCCACCCCAACCTCGATTTCGTGCGCAAGTTCATGAAGCCCCTGCTGATCGGGGAGCTGGCGCCCGATGAGCCCAGCCAGGACCGCGGCAAGAACGTGAGTGGGACGGGCTGGTGCCAGTCTCTCCGGGAGGGGGTACCCTCTGCCCATGCCCTAAGGCTGCCTTTCATCCCTTTGTCTCCGCTCTTTTGCCCCTTCGGCCTGCGTCCTGTATCTCCCAGCTACGCTGTCGTTTTCCTTGGAGGCGCATCTTGGTCCCCAAGTCCTATCCGGCTCGCCTCTCCCCTTCCCCCACAATGCCCGCCCCCCACCCACCCTCCCCAAGACCCCAGCCAGAGCAGAGCGCCCACCCTTTCCTGCCTGTGAGGGCTGCGTCCCCAGGGCCGCGTCGGACTGCACTGTGGTCGCCGGAGGGCCCGGGCGGCTGACGCCCTCCCCTGGGCCCTTGCTGACCCAGGCTCAGATCACCGAGGACTTCCGGGCGCTGAGGAAGACGGCCGAGGACATGAAGCTCTTCCAGTCCAACCACCTGTTCTTCCTCCTCCACCTGGCCCACATCATCGTCATGGAGACCCTCGCCTGGTTCATCATGGCGTACTTTGGCAATGGCTGGATCCCAACCTTGCTTACCGCCTTTATCCTCGCTACCTCACAGGTGCAGCAAGCTCTGCCCCCGCCCCCTGGGAGCCCACCCTCCCCTCCCACCGCTGCGGGAGCTCAGCGGGTTGGGTGACGGGATTGGTGGCCCTCTCTCCCCAGGCCCAGTCAGGGTGGCTGCAGCATGACTACGGCCACCTTTCTGTGTACAAGACGTCCAGGTGGAACCGCCTCACCCACAAGTTCGTCATCGGCCACCTGAAGGTAAGGGCAGGTGGAGGGAGGAGAGGCCTGTGCCATCTCACCTCACTGGGGACTGTGGGGGGTGGGGTGGGGAGTGGGGGCAGGAGAACGCCCTCAACGCAGTTCTCAGAAACACAGGGGGTCACCCTGAGTCCGAATACACTCGGTGGCCGCCGGTCTGGTGTGCACGGCGGCCGCCGGTCTGGTGTGTACGCGTGGGCTCCGCTGTAGGCGCTCGCCCTGGACTCGTGTCACATGTCATCCGCCCCGCGGTCTTTGTTCTAGTCATTCCACTGCACATTGTCCCTTACCGCATCAAGGAGCCCTGGTGGCTTAGCCGTTAATCTGAAAGATCCACACTTCAAAACCACCCACAGCTCTGCTGGAGAAAGACGGGTGCCGGAAACTCACAGGGGCCGTCCTACCCTCTGGATAGCAGTGAAGTTTTTTTGTTGTTGTTTTGTTTACTGTGGAAGAGTGGACTCTGACCAGAGCAGAGCTGCTCCATAGGGTTCCCAAGACTGTAAAGCCTCATCTTTCCCCCAGGCAGCAGCTGGTGGGTTTGAACTGCCACCCTCTCGCCCCCTCGTCCCAACGTGTACCCTACTGTGATACGGGGGCTCCTTCCTTTACTGTAAGTCTTCTCAAATATTTTTGGATGTGTGTTGAGTCTGGAGAGCAGGAGCTTGAGTAATATATATATATATATAATCAGGCTACAGGTTGGGCTGCTGACCATAAGGTCAGTACTTCGAAACCACCAGTTGCTCGGTGGGAGAAAGACGAGGCTTTCTACTCCCGTAAAGAGGTGCAGTGTCTGAAACCCAGGAGGCAGTTTTACCCTGTCCTGTAGGGTTGAGGAGCCCTGGTGGCATAGTGGTTTTGAATTGGGCTGAGATCCTAATGGTCGGCAGTTCGAAACCACCAGCAGCTTCACAGGAGAAAGATGGGGCTTTCTATGCCCATAAACAGTTTAGAGTCCCAGAAACCCACAGGGGGTCACTATGAGTCAGCCGGGAGTTTTTTATAGGGTTGCTCTGTGTAGACATCACTTGATGGAAGTGAGGGTTGTTGGGCTTTGCCTCAGGTATTACCTAACTCCTCATAGATCAGGGTAACTGAGCCAATAAACAGCCCAAACCCACTGGCATGGAGTTGATTCTGGCTCTTAGGAGCCCTGCGCAGGGTTTCCAAGGCTGAAAGTGTTAAAAGAAGGACCAGGCAGCCTCATCTGTCTCCCTCTGAATGGCTGGAGGGTTTGAACTGCCAACCTTGAACAACCCTAACCCACAGCGCCAACCAGGGCTCCTAGAATATCAGAAGGCAAGGGGGTTGGCTGTCACCATCCTCCACACGGAGCCCTGGTGTGGCATCGTGGTCACACATTGGTCTGCCACCCACCAGGCCGGTAGTTGGGAAGCACCGGAGAGTGATGTCTTTCTCCTCCCTCAGTCATGTCTCAGGAACTACCCTGTCCGGGGGTCCCAGGGAGTCGGCTTCAGCTCCTTGGCAGCGGGTTTGGGTTTGGGTCCACCCCACAGATGATGGGAAGACCTGCAGAGGCGTTGTGGCTTTTGCAAGTTTGTAAAAAGGCGAGCTGGACTTGCCCGTGACCTTGTGCTCATCTGATGGGTGCTTTGGGGGAAGAGCCTCTGCTGCTCTCCGCTTCCTGCCCCGACACTGCCCCACGGGCATCTGGCTGCTTCAAAGCCACCCACGGGCACCTCGGGAGCCAGGCCCCAGACATCTCTTCCTGGAAACTCACAGCTTTGCAAATCCCAGAGAGCAGTGCCTCTCGGCCAGCCACGAAGACTCCCATCCCTCCCGACCCTGACTCACTTGGAGCAGCGCAGCGTCCCCTGCAGTGCAGAGCAAGCACCCTGGGGGGAGGGGGTGGTGAACCGCCCCCGCCCGAGTGGCCAGTGCTCGGCCAGCAGTTTGCCCGGCCTTGAGTCCGAGGAGGCCTGAGAGCCTGGCTTCGGTCCAGCATTTCCTCAGAAAGAGTGCTTTGTCTCCCAGTCTGCTCCTTGCTGTTACATAAAAGTCGCCAACGTCAGCAAGGAACGTTTTCCTCCCCGCCCCTGGTGTCCCCCACACGCAACAGAGATGGCCTGTGTCCTGCTCCCGGGACCCTGGGCTGGGGCCCTGAGGGCCTTTCCTGCCCTGTGGCCCTCGGTCCCTGAGGGGCCTCAGATGGAGCACCGCGTCTGGCCTCAGCAGGAGGACAAAGCTGAGACGGGGGGCTGGTGGGAAGCAGGGGCCTGGCTCGGGGAAGGGTTCTTCCAGCCCCTGCCACCTAGGTTCATGGGCACCTCGCTTTTCTTGGCTCCCCAGGTGGTCACAGCTGGCCCCACAGCCCTGGCTAAGCCCTAGTCACGTGCCTTATAATCCATCTGTGTCTCCGGTCCCCTCTCTGGGACAAAGAGGACTGACTGCAGGGAAGGGGGTGTCCTTTGAGCCCCTCTTCAACACAGCTGTTGCACAAGCAGCTCTGGTCCTGAGTCAGGAGAGGGCCTGGGTCTGGAGAGGCCGGTCAGCTTCTCGCTATCGGCCGGTGTCCCCTTATCCAGACATGCCTTCTCCCTCTGGGCCAGTGTCTCCTGTTGGACATGTCTTCCAGGCGGTTTTTAGCAGTCAGGCCTGCTTAACACCCTTTCATTGTTGCTGAGCCTCGCGGGCCAGTGCTGAGCATGAGCCCCAAGTCTCCCAGGCGTAGGGTGACAACCCCTGGCTAGCTCTCGCTGCTGAAACCAGCATCTCCCTGGGGGATGGGGTGGGGTATCTTGGTGCAAATGTAGTCTCTGAAAATCCAGCCTGTGGGCACCAGAGGCCTTGGGTGGGACAGCTGTGGCCTTTGCCATGTAAGGCACACATGGACTTGGACACACACACGTTTAGCCATACACCGTTGGCAGGCAGATCAACTTAGCCTGTTACCGACAAAGGGGTCTTGGGGTCATTTTCTGGTGGGAGCAGCACATCCCCAAAGTAGGCTGTTGGATATATTAAAAAGCAAGAAAAGAGAAACCCCAGGAAGAATCGAATGGGGGTCTTTGGCACAAAGAGTTTGGGGGATAGGCTTCAGAGACACATGCTGGTTATAGAATACCCTCCAGGCGATGTTTGTGCTAGGGGAGGAGGGTCCCCAAGGTGGGGCGGTCGCCACTCTCCCTGGTTTCAGGGACCGGGATCCATAAAACCAGAAATCAAACTCCGCTCACCATGACACCAACACCGGCCTTCCTCACTTTATCACCAGACTTGTATTGATTCGGGAGTCATGGCCGCGGAGGCTGGCCAACTGGCAGGAGGGCCCCCATGGCGCTCTGGGAGGCCGAGGGCCTTGTGGGGAAGCCAGCCCCAGGTGTTGGAGCTGCAGGAAGCGGCTCCTGAGGCAGCGCCTCATCACAGGGGTGCAGGATGTCCCCCTCACCGCCTGCCCCTCCCCCCACAGGGCGCCTCAGCCAACTGGTGGAACCACCGCCACTTTCAGCACCACGCCAAGCCCAACATCTTCCACAAGGACCCGGATGTGAACATGCTGCACGTGTTTGTCCTGGGCGAGTGGCAGCCCATCGAGGTAGGCGGTGGGGGGCCCTGGGGACACGGCGTGGGGGGCTGGGAGGGAGCTGCCAGGGTGGATGCTCAACCCCATGAGCCCTCGTCCTCTCCCAGGCATGCTGAATAATTCAGGGTGGGATTGCATGGCGTGGCCACCATATCCATGATGGATGCACCTTCTCTGAGCAATGGCCACTTCTGGTTCCCTCTCTCCCCGGGAGCTTGGGAGCATCGCCTGCCTCGTTCCTCCGCGTGGTTGTTCAGTAGCTGCTGTTGAGCCAGCACCTGCCTCGGGCGACCCTGCACACAATGACCCCTGCCACACGCACGCATGCACGCACGCACGCATTCACATACAGTTGGTCGTGAATATGGATCCTACGTTTTCCCATGGGCTGATGTTCAGGAGTAGATCGCCAGGGCCTTTCTTCCTGGTCCGGCTTAGACTGCAAGCTCTGTTATAACCTGTCTGGCATCCTCAGTGACACGTAAGCTTCCACTGACGGACAGGTGGGGGCGCCACAAGGTGCTGTGGCAGGAATCGAACATGGGTCTTCCGTGTGCAAGGGTCAGCCCTGAACCAGTGACAGCCTGTGCTTCTCCCCAGAGCAGGGAGAAAGGTGGCAACCGCTTAGCAGGAAGGCAGGAGCCCTAGTGGTTAAGGGTGGGCTATGATCCTTAAGGTGAGTGGTTCAAAACCATCAGCCACTCCATAGGAGAAAGATAGGGCTTTCTACTCCCATAAAGAGTGACAGTCTCAGAAACTCACAGGGGCAGTTCTACCGTGTCCTGTAGGGTCAGTATAAGTCAGAATTGACTCGGTGGCAAGGGGTTTGGTTTAGTTTGGTGCCAGGAAGCCAAGACTCAGTTCCCACTAGGCCAGCTCCCAAGAAAGAGGCCTTCCTGGCAATCTTGGACCAAGACAGCGGGCTCCTGAGAAGACCTGAGTCCGGCCCACCCCCAGGGAGATGGAAAAGCCCATCTCAGCTAGAAGTGAGGCTCCCACCCATGCTGGGGGTGGTGGGGGTCCATTCTGATTGTAGGACTGCACAGGACAGAGAAGAGTTGTCACCTGTACAGAAGCAAGCTGCCATATCTCTCTCCCACTGAGTGTTGGCTGGTGGGTTTGAACCACCGGCTGTTTAGCAGCCAAGCATTTAACCGCTCTGCCACCAGGGCTCCTGGAGAGGAGGATGGGACCTGGTGGTGTAGAGAATCCTCTGGTGGCCACACAGCTCTGCTACCATCCCCGGGTCAGGTTTTATTGCAAAGACAGAGCGTGCTTGCTAAAAGCCTGTAACCCCACGGCCGCGTACACAATAGAAAGTCAGTCTGTTAGCTCCCTTCTTGGACCGCTGCCCAGGCCCCGAGGGTGACCACCTCCAACTCCAGTGCTAGACCTTCAGAGGTCCCCATGCGGTGCACATAGTGAACACACTGCTAGCCAAGAGGTCGAAGGTTTGAATCCAACCAGAGGAGCCCCAGGATCAGAATGGATTATGTGCTGGGCGGCCAGCCACAGGGTCAACAGTTTAAGCCCACCAGCTGCCCCTCGGGTGAAAGACGAGGCTTTCTGCTCCCGAGCAGTGTCACAGTCTCAGAGACCCACGGGGGCAGTCCTACCCTGTCCTTGACGTGGCCCGGAATTGAACTCCAGGTCCCGGCGCTTGTGTCTCTTCTTGATTTGCTGGTTCCTCGGCGGCAGCCCGGGTTTTGATTCTGATGGCTCTGCGGTGGCGGTGGCTCAGCTGAGTTTCTGGGACAGGGAGTCGCACCCTCGGACAGCCCCTTCTGCCTCGTCGTCCTGGTCACTCACTGCCCTCGAGGTGGTGCCGACTCAGCGAGCGGCCCTACCAGACCGGGTAGAACTGTGTTTCTGAGACTGATTCTCTAGTTTGTCTTGAGCGGCTGGTGGTTTCGAACTGTGGACTTTTCGGTTAGCAGCTCGGGGTGTAACCACGACGCTGTCAGGTATCAGCCTCTACAATCGAGTGGGTCCAGGGGGTGGGCGGTTGTGCAGTTGAAAGAGACATCAGACAAGATAAAGCACGTGGGTGCTCACCTTCGGGACCGTCCGGACTTCAGGAGCCCCATTCGCGCAGAGAGAGAGAGAATGTATTTCCAACCAAGGCTTATACACACGTGGAGCATGCAAGCCGCCCTAATTACAGGTAACCGCATGCATAACAGGAAGGGGCTGTACAATAGGCGTTCGCCTGACAGGAAGGGGACGAGCTAGGGGCGTGCACGCAATAGGAACGGGAAGGGCACACATGTGACAGGCAGGAAGGCACAAATGTAACAAGATGGGCGGGCTCTAGAGTCAAAATGGTAGTCTGACCTTGGTGGTCCCTGACTTGGCTTGACCTTAGATGTCTTTGGGCTCTCCTACCTACAGGGAAACACGCCGTTATCCTTACCAGGAGGGAGTGGGCTGTACTTCGGGTGGGGCAGACTACAAGGGTCTGATCGCCTTAGATGTCTGACAACCTTCAGGCAGACGGCCTTTAAGCAGTTGCCTCCGAAGTGTTTAATAGTCAGTGTCTGTGTGTTTGCAAACAGCACCTTAGGTTTGGTGTCTACTATGGGGGGACAGCCTGGGGAATGGCTTCTGTTTCCCACACTGCACCACGGATCCCGGCTCCTTTCCTAACAGCCCTGCTTTTATCTCCACTTGGAGTTTGGGGCCGTGACCTGAACTTGCCGAGCAGCGTGAAAGAGCAGTGATGTCTTGTTTGGCTTTCCTCCTTGAGGGGCCTAGAAAGGCCATTGTCCACTCAGACTGAGCGTGTCTGTGTGTGCATGTGTCTCCCTATCCCACCCCCTCATCTGGACGCCCTCTGCCCCTCCTGCTGGCCATCCCCATCTCTGGGCAGCCCTGGGAACCCTCCCTCCTGCCCCTTCCCCGGGGCTGCCAGGTCTCTGGCTCTCTACGCCACTGCAAATTCCCAGAGGGAAGGACGTGCTGTGCGGCTGCCTCCCCCGGCCCTGGACAGACAAGGAAGGGCCTTGTTATCCCGAACACATATCGTTCCAAAGTGGAACGGTCCCCTCCTCCTGGGCCTGCCGTCCGTGGAGAGGCTGGCTACCAGAGAGTCAGCCCTCCTCTGGGAAGCCCAGTGTCCTCCCTCTGCTGCTGGCCTGAGTCCTCTGCTGTCCACCTCATCCTGGGAACATGCTGTCCTGTTCAAGGCCAGCCCTGTGTGTCCAGACTTGTCCTACCAGGAGTCTGGCCACCCCAAGCAGCTAGCCCTCATCTGTATCCAGCTGGTGCGATGCTGCCGTCTCCCAGCCCCTTCCCTGGCTGTGGCTTTAAAACCCATTTGGTGCCCTGTCAACGCCGACTCGGGGGGCCTGGGCCCCCCATGCGTGTCCGAGCAGGACTGTGCTCCAGAGGGTTCTCAATGCCCGATTGCTTGGAATTAGACTGCCAGGCCTTTCTTTGCAGGCACCTCCCATCTTTCTTAGCAGCCAGACCGTGTTCATTGTCCGACCAGAGGGGGCGAGTCCATTCTGGCTCGGGTGACCCCTGTGTGATAGGTAGAACGGAGGCTCTGCAGGGTTTTCAACGCTGCTTTCTCAGAAGTAGACCGTCTGACCTCTCTTCCAAGGTACTTCTAGGTGCGCTCAAACCATTCAAGCTAAATGCTTAGCCATTTCTGCGGCCTGGGGACCCCGTGGGCCTGGCTCCTAGGGGTGTGACGAGGAACCTCTCTGGAGAAGTGGGGGGACCTTTGGGTCGCTCCATTCCCTATGTCCAGGCCCTGGGGGTGCCAGGGTGTGAAAAGCTGGCTCTTGGCAAGTGCAGGGATCCAGTACTGCCCACATGGAATATTGCTTAGCTTCCAGCCTGAGAAGCAGATGCCGCCCCTTTGACAGAGGGCATGACTGAGGCTAAGAACAATAAGATAAGTCACTCAAAGTAGCAATGGCGGTATCAAACCCAGGCTGCCTGTGTCACGGAGGCACATGGGAAATGTTTGTGGATGATAACTGGGCTCATCCCCATAGCGTGGCATGTTCTAGAATACCCGTCCTGGTTGTGTTTCTCCTCCTTGGACATCTCGGTGCATGCTGCCAAGCCTGTTTTGACTCACGGTGACCGAGAAGGGTGTTCTAAGCCATTGTGTCCATAGGAGCCAATCCCAGCAATTTCTTCACAGGACAGCCAGTGGTTTGAAGTGCTGACCTCTGGGTTAACAGCTGCAGGTGTAACCGCTGGGCCACCAGGGCTCTGCCTGAGTGAGGAACATGCAGAAAGGCAGGAGCATGACCCAGGCGTGGCCTCACCTTGCCCATGGATGGCTCTCTTGGTTTCCCAAAGGGTTCTGTGGGCCGGCCCTGCCCCGCCCAAGATCTGCTACCCACTGCCATCGAGTGGACTGTAACTCAGAGCCACCCTGTAGGACAGGGTGGAACTGCCCCTATGGGTTTCTGAGACTGGAGTTGACCCCCCCAACTGATGAGAGGCGCCCCCTTTACCGCAACGGTGAGCGTGTTGTCAGTTAGGCAGGTCTCCTGGGAGTCCTGTGCCACCGCTGGCCCCTCCACAGCCCTGGGTAGCACAGACCAGGTGCTGGGAGAGCTGAAGCCATCTGCTCCCATCCCAACTCTGTCTCTGGGCTCTGAGCCCCTGCATCCCAAGGCTGTGATCGGCCTAGGCTGCCAGACACAGAGAACTGTCACTGTGGGGGTCCGGGTCACCTCCACTGGGTCAGTGTGAGCGCCCATGGGGACCAGCAGTGCCCACCAACCAGGGGGAGCTCAGGGATGCTCCGTCCCTATACTCATCCCTCCACAAAGGCTTCATAACTCAAGGGTCTTGTGCAAATATAGCTTCAAATGTACTCCCCAGGTGCCTGCACCCCCTGCCCCAACCTGCTTAGCCAGGGCCCTGGCTGGGGATCCTCCAGTCTGTGCTGGTCAGGTCCCTCTCTGGGGAGCCCTGGCCTCTGCTGGCCTTTGGGGGCCACTCACTTCCCCCAGGGAGCTGGACCAGAGATGTACTGGGCAGGGTCTTCTGGAAAGAGGTTGGCGCAGGACTGGGAGGCTTGCTCTGTGGGCCATAAGCTTCCTGGGCCCCACAGCTGCTGCAGGTCCCCCAGCCTGGCCATTTCAGGGATGTACCTGCAGTGCCTAGGCCTCCTGGTGGTGCAGCAGTGAACTGTTGGCGGTGCACCGAAAGGTTAGTGGTTCAAATCCCCCCAGGCTTTCCTGATGATCTGCTCCCGTGAAGATCCAGTCTAGCTGACCTTAGGGGGTCAGTTCTACTCTGTCACCGGGGCTGGCTATGAATCTGAATCGACTCAGCCATACCTGACATACTTCCAGGCCCTCCCAAGCCTGCTCCCACTGGGAAAGGGACAGGCATCCCCTGAGGTCCATTTGGGTCTGACGTGGCCCTTAGTGACTGTTCTTGTGTAAATGACCAGTTTCCTGGGAATGAGCCAGGAATCCTGCCACGCTGCAAAGCCGAGGGCTCTGACCTGCCTTGTCCTCTTTGGGAGTCTGTGGATTTTTGATCTGCTCTGATCTGGGGGAAAGGGTATGGCTTGGAGGGGGACAGGGCTGGCGAGGTGATGAGGCTACACAGCGAGCCCGAGGGTTTCGCCCATCCTCCAAGAGGGCAGCTCCAGAGCTCCCTCTAGTGGACGGCGCCGCGTGTGCTCGGAGCCGCTGCACCTTCATGGACTTGCTCTCCCTGGGTTTGTGCTGTCCCATGAGCACTGCTCCTGGTTGGGGTTCCCAGCGTGGCCTGAGGCAGTGACTGACTGGGAGCCACAGCCCCTGAAGTGTCCACCGCGAGGATGGGGGTGGGCAAATTGAGCGGGAGACCAGGTACAGCGTGGCCAGAAGGCCAAAGGCGCCCGCTCCCAGGAGGGGAAGACCTGGGGCGCCGAGGGCTCATGGTCTCCCCTCTCTCCACAGTACGGCAAGAAGAAGCTGAAATACCTGCCCTACAACCGCCAGCATGAGTATTTCTTCCTGAGTGAGTGCCCCCCACCCACACACGTCAAGTGCCCGTCCCCCCCACTGACACAGCCCATCTAGTCCAAGACGGAGCCCCCACAGCCACCAGCCCCGTTTTACAGATGGGAACACCGAGGCTCAGAGTGAGATCCGTGATCTGTGTGCAGCCAGGGGAGGGGTGGAAGCTGTCTGCTCATCGTCCTGCGGTAGAAGAGGGCCCCAGGCCCCCTGTCCCACCCAGCCCAGTGCTACACCCACCAGTCTGTGCCCCCAGCCCCCAGTCCTGGAGGTGGCGGGCAGGCGGTAAACACGCCTTCTCTGCTCTCTGCAGTTGGGCCTCCGGTGCTCATCCCCTTGTATTTCCAGTATCAGATCATCATGACCATGATCGTCCGCAGAGACTGGGTGGTGAGTGGGGAGGTGGGAGGAGGGTGGCCAACGTGAATGGACCCGGGGGAGGTGGTGTGTGTGTGTGTGTGTGTGCACGCGTGTGTGCACGCGCCTGGTGGCCTTATGCCTCTGTGCATCAGTCCTAAAGAGCATTCCCCCAACACACATCCACACACGCCAGAGCTCCTGAGGCATCCCCTGGCTTGGCAGACTCCCCACACACACAGGGCGTCCCTGGGTTACCAAGGCGCACTGGCCTGGTTTCCCCTAAAAGGAGAGCATGCCCAAGTGAATTCGCTCCCCCGTCCTGGACCCAGGCAGAACCTGACCCGGCAGATTGGACACAGGAGAGGACAGACAAGTGAGCAGTCTCTGACTAGCCCTGCTTGGCCGTTTGTTACATCTTTTTAACCATCTCACACCTGGGGATGTTGAGGTTCTGAGAGTTTAAGACGAGCCCCCAAGCCTTTGCTTCTTCGTGCCGTGATTATGGACTATCAAAAGGGAGTGACTTTCAGGAACAGAAATTTATTTTCCCTGGTGTTAGATGCCATCCAGTTGGTTCTGAAACACTCCCCCATCCTGCAGCCCCATCCTCACAATCGTCTGAGCTCATTGTTACAGCCACTGGATCAGTCCTCACGGAGTCTTCCTCGGGTAATGTAGTGATTACATGCTGGGCTGCTGATGCTAAGATCAGCAATTCGAAGCCACCAGTCCCTTCGAGGGAGAACGATGAGGCTTTCTGCTCCTGTGAAGCATGACCGTCTGGGAAACCCACAGGGCCAGCTCTGCTCTGTCCGGTAGGGTCACTGTGAGTTGGAATGGACTCAATGGCATTGAGTTCGTTGTCTTTGTTGTTTTCGTTGCTGTTTAACGTTACCCAGCACGAGGAGCCCTGACGACACAGGGGGTTAGGCGTTGGGCTGCTATAGGGTCAGCGGTTCAAAACCACCAACCGCTCTGCAGGAGAGAGATGAGGCTTTCCACTCCCGAGAAGAGTTACAGCCTCAGACACTCACAGAGGCGAGTTCTACTCCGTCCTCGGGTCTCTGAGCCCAAGCTGACTGGATGGCAGCCAGTTTGGTGTGGTTTTGACCACGTGTGATGTCTTTCTCCTGGGAAGACATCAGCACGGGACTTCCTGCGGGAACGGTGCTGCCCTGTCGCGTGCCGTCCCTTACGGCAGAGCAGTAGCAGCACGTTTGTCATGCGGCTGAGAACACTGTCACCGAGATTGGGCAGAGGTGAGCTGGTTTTAACAAGGGGACGGTTGCCAGTACTTTCTGCCAGTTGCTCCTCCGGCCAGTGAGGGCCAGAGGGAGGGAGTAACAGCCCACGGTTTCTGGACGGGCTGAGGGGCTGCAGATTCGACCCCCCTGGCCGGCTGCCTGAAGCCCTGGGCAGTTCTGCTTTCACTGGGTGCGCGGGTTCTGGAAGCAGCCAAGTCAGAATGGGAACGGGAGGTTGCGCCCGGCTGCTCTGATCATTTTCATGGATTGTGTCCCTCGAGAGACAAAGCCGACGACTGGGGCAGCACTGAAGGAGATGCATCGGAACAAAGGCATCTGAGAGCCAGACCCAGGGGGCTCGGACAGGCCCCTCAGGCCTTCCTGGCCCCAGATAACCACCGGGGACCCTGATGGCCCTGCCCTGGCCACAGCCGGGAGCAGGCTTCAGGCCCGTCGCCTTGGGCTTCGCTGTTTAAATAGCAACTGGTTGAGCCTCTCAGCAGGAGTCCAGGTGTCTCGAGAGGTTCAGTGCCTGACCACGCCTAAAGGTTGGGGGTTCAAACCAGCCCAGAGGCACCTCAGAAGAAAGGCGGGCAGTCTGCTTCCAAACATCACAGCAGACACGGGGTCCTCTGCACACATGGCGTCCTCTGCATGCGTAGTTACCAGGAGTTAGAAGCCGCTCGAGGGCAACGGGCAGGTTTTTGGGTTTTTTCCTGTTGGTCTGTGGACAGACTTGGCACTGGTGCTGGGTGCTGTGGCGTGAGAAGCAGGGTCTCAGTGGCTCAGACTGGCCCCTCCCTCAGGAATCCTTCTCTCCAGCCCCCCCACCCCACCCCAGCCCCGTAAAGCCGAGGGGTGGAGTAGGTTAAGGTGGAGCCTAAGCCTTTGCATAGGGATCGTCACAGAGCACAGCGCGTGCGTGCGCAGTGCCTGCAGGGCTGGGGCACGGCCGCCAGCGGCTACATTCCCGGTGTCATCCTGCCACTCGATGGGCCAGTGTCGTCATCAGTCTACCTTCCTCACAGCCGAACCAGCACAAACCAGCCTCCTAAAGGATTCTGGGAGTGCCCTTCTCATCATAGACCAAGGGAGTCCTTCACACAGAACAAGGAATGCAGCATGGTTGAAGATGGGGCAACGGTGTGCCTGGGGTCCCTTCACCAAAGTTATTCCGCCTGTGTGCCGAGCAAGCACTCCAGGAAATGAGAACACAGCACTGGGATTGGAGGAAGGCTCGCGAACAACCCTCCATGCACCGGTGACGCCGCCGTTCTGCTGCCGTGGAAGAGGCCTGGAGGCAATCACCGGTGAAGGCCAAGGCGCACTACCTTCGCGTGGCTGGCATCTCAACGCCAATGAATGAAGCCCAAATCCTCCCACATGGCCCGGGAAGCATCATCCTGATCCACGAAGACGGTGTGGAAGCTGACAAGGGAATCGCTTCGATTGGCTCCGCAATCGGTGCTCAGGGAAGCAGCAGCCAAGAGATCGCATAATGTGTTGCCTGGCTCTTGCACGCACAAGACCTCTTAGAAGTGCTAACACGCAGAGATGCCACTCGGAGGGCTGGGGTGTCCCTGACCCCAAAGATGGTCTTCACAGTCAACCCCCAACAAATAAGCTAACAACCGGTTTGAGGCTGCAATGACCATAGGAGCATCAAAAAGGATATGCCGAAAGAGTGTTGTTTATTTCATACAGTTCATACTTAGAGAAGAACAGTAAAAGAGGGACACAAAGCTAATTTTGTTATAAGAAAGCTTTCTCAAATGTTAATAAAAAATATTAAATCCTGACCCAAAAAACCAATGACACTGTTATTTAAGATACTATTTACATACTGCTTCTTTAAAAACATTAATTTACTTCCGTATTGCTTCTTGACTGGCATCTTCTTCACCTTTATCCGAGCATCCTCTGCTGTAGTGTGATCTCTCCGCTGTGGGAGACGGATCCCGTGCCTTGGAGGCAGGCCAGTTAGACAGTAGTCCTCGTGTTGGCTGTATTAGAGACAGGCGGCTTCTCTTCTTGGACCATACTGTGTCTCCCTGGAAAACCCCTTCCTGCTTCGTTGTTCTGACAGTCATGTTTAGCTCTCTGAATTCTCTCAGGAATTCCATAACTCACTCGCCCTATCTCATGGGAATTTGGGGCGCAACACAAAGCTGCAATGAATGGCAGCATGTCACCCTTGGGTGCTTCCCCCTCTATCTTTACACAGTACATTTGTTTCCTGAACTAGCCAACGCCCGGGAATAAAAACAGCATTTCATAAAACTCGTTACTCATCAAATAACAAGTCTTAGGAAAGGAGGACATCGACATGGCGAGCCTCGTTCTGTCTAATTTCTTTATACCTACGGATGGAGCGGACGTGACCACGGGCGCTCCCCGCACGCAGATGGACGTTCACAAAGAGTATACAGAGTGGTCGTTTGTGATCTCCACGTTGGGCAGCTACCCCAGTGCCCACCGTAGAGAGAGCCCTGGTTACAAGTACCAGTTTAACAACCGGCTCACAGAACTCAACACCAAGTCAGGGATCAGTACTGCCAAACTGGTGCGAACCATCTGACCCCCACCCCTGGCTCCCATGCTTGTGAGAGCTGGCCAGTGTAGAACTGATGCCCTTGACTTCCGGTCTGGAGTCTTGACTAGGCCCTGGGCTGCCAGAGAAAGAACAAATCTGTCTCAGGAGAAGGAAAGCCAGCATGCACCTTAGAAGCGAGGATGCCAAGACTTCACCTCACACACGTGGGACACAGTCTGGAGGGGAACCAGTCCTGAGAAAGGATGTCGTGCTTGGTAGAATAAAGGGTCCGTGAAGAAGAGGGAGGCCCTGAGTTAGTTTATTGTGCCAACCTGGCCGATAAACATGGGTTAATTGAAGGGCAGAGAGATAAATGGCTTGGTGAACCTTGCCTTTGGAGTTCTCGGGTCCCTTGCTTTGTGATGGTCGGACCAGGGTGCAGCTGCCTTGGCCAGTTCCCTGCTTCAGCTGGCAAGGCTCACTTCTTGCAAGACATCCCCGAGGAGAAGCTACATGGACCTACCCTAATGTAGCCCAAACCCTGGACCTGGAGAAGCCACATGAAGACCCCTGCCAGCGCTGAGATGCTTACACGTTCACGGATTCAGCTTTCCTCCTGCAGTCGGCATCAGTGTGTGTTTTGTGAGACGGAGGAGGACTTTGTGGATTGGTGGCGGACATACGGGATAATGTTAGAACTGGGTAGCACTGAGTTGGGATGTTTTCTTGATGTGTACTTTAACCTTTCTATAAAACTCATACATGAGTTTCTGTGGATTTGTTTCTCTAAAGTACCCAGACTCACACAGGCCCTCAAGGAGGTGGGTTGACACAGTGGCTGCAACCATGGGCTCACACCACACGGATTGCGCGGCAGGCTCAGGCGGGATTCCGCCCGGTTCTGCCCTGGGTCGCCATGAGTTGGAACTGACTTGACGGCACCTCCCAACGAGATTCTGAAGCAGCACTGGGGCTCCGTGGCAGTCAGAAGATTTCTGTGGGGACATGAAGGGAGGAAGAGACCAGACGTTGAGCCCCGGATGCAGGGAAGCAGGCACGGCCTGAGGTGGCCACGAGCCGGGTCAACAAGGCTACTCCTGGCTGCTGGCCCTGGGGCTGTGAGGGTCAGCAGGAAGAGGTGGGGTCGGCTTGGTGTAAGGTGACTCACTGGGGGCCCAAGGACAAGGCTGTGGTCCAGCTGCAGCATGTGGACTTAGAGCAGAGAGGAGGCTGTGAGCCGTGCAGGAGGGTCAGTGGGAGCAGCCAGAGGGAGACACTTGCCCAGGAAGAGAGGATGCCCAAGCTCAGGACAGTCCCCTGCGAGGGGCGGGAGGATAGAGTGGAGGGAACTGGAGGGGACTCTGGCATGGGCCAGGGGCCAGCAGTGTCAGGCCACTGAGAGTACCAGTGATGTCCATTGCCCTTGGCCACCTGCACCGCCGTGTGACGGGAGGGACAGGGGTTCCAGGGTTGGTGGTGGACGGCCACTGTTGTGGGCTGGGTGCTGGCAGTCCTTCAGAAGGAGGGGCTGCTGGCCTCTGGCCCCCAGCCAAGGCTGCCCTCTGGGCTGATGTCCCTGCCCTCTTCGTTTGCTCGGCTCTTTCACAGAGCACCCGGCCCGCCTGCTGCTGGAACAGGCAGTGTGTTTCCTTCTACACAGGCCCAGGGGAGTGTTGCTCAGTGGCTGGGGCCCAAGTTCCCAGAGGCCCTTGGGGCTCCTTAGGCACCACTGCCCCTCGGAGTGTGTGCTTGAGCCGCACGTGTGGTTCCCGTCCGGCGCATGACAGAGGCCGCGGCCGGCAGGCCAGCCAGCCTGCCTCTAATCCCATTTCCCCCGCAGGACTTGACCTGGGCCATCAGCTACTATATCCGTTTCTTCGTCACCTACAGCCCTTTCTTTGGCATCCTGGGGGCCCTCCTCTTCCTCAACTTTATCAGGTGCCTGGGCGTGGTCGGTTCTCCTCTGGGACCCTGGTGGGGAGGACAATTCTGGGGGCCACCTGAGGGAAGGCTCCAGGGGCTCCGCTTCCCACATTGGGGCCTCCGTGGGAGGGTTGCCGGGGCCCCGGGAGCCCCCAGCGGGGACCCGCCCACGGCTCCAGCCGAGCACTCCTCTCAGGTTCGTGGAGAGCCACTGGTTCGTGTGGGTCACGCAGATGAATCACATCGTCATGGAGATTGACCGAGAGCACTACCGAGACTGGCTCAGCAGCCAGGTGAGGGCCCCGCCGGTCAGCCGAGCCCTTCAGAGCCCAGGCCTCAGGGCATGTTCTCGGACCCCTGAAATGGAGACCCAGGCCCACACTGGGCTTCCCCTGCAGCCTCGGGGTGAAGCGAGGAAGGGCGGCAGGGGTGGTCTGGCTGGACAGGCGGGAGGCCCTTGGGTCTGCCTTGGCCTCCGGCTGCTCACCGCCTCCCCCCCTTTCCTTCTCCCCTCCCGCAGCTGGCAGCCACCTGCAACGTGGAACAGTCCTTCTTCAACGACTGGTTCAGCGGGCACCTCAACTTCCAGATTGAGCACCAGTGAGTGCGGCAGGGGGGCAGCGGGCCCGTATGTGTCCCCAGGGCAGCAGCGATAACCTCCCCTTTCACAGTTCACCGAGAGCGTGCGTGGGGAGCGGGCAGGAATGGGGAGGCCCCACTTGATCGATAGGGACACGGAGGCCCGCTACGTCCCTGCCACCCGTGCTGCCCCTCGTCTTTGTCACACCTTCTGCCACGGACCCTGTCCCCTCCTGCCACCCTACAGACCCCCACCCTCATTCCCTGTCTGCAGGATGAGCATGTGT